AATACTTTATGTGAATAAATTTATGTGAACCAAACAAAATCAAACTCCAGTCCGTCTACAAACCTTGGTCTCTGTGAACTCTGGAGCGGTTTGGATGCATATGTGAACGCTAAGTGGACCGGCGACCACTCCAAAAGCAGGAAGTGGACCACAGCACAGGGCATTCTGGGTAAATGCAACCAAAACAAACACACTAACACTAGAGTGCCAGGGGTAGTGCCAAATGCCATAGACAAAAGATAAATCCTCCAACTGCTAAAATCTGATACTACTACATTTTTGTTTACATTTTGTGGAGAAGGAAGTTGCGTGTATTAGCTGTGTTTCCATTACAAATGTGCACAAAACTTTGTCAATATTCCAACAATGTTGAAGAAATTGCAATTTCACAATTGGTGTGTTTCCATTAAATAAACGCAATTAAAATTACACATGAATATGTTTGTTCACACCAAAAAATCTTTAAAAAACATGCTACCCGATCATCCTCCTACCACTTCCTGTCATCTTCTTTGTCGTTTCCATCAGTAGTAACATCCAGTTGTTGATCACATGACTCATGATGCGAGTTTATGGTTTCTGGGTCAATTCGGTCCAGAAACCACTAGCACAAAAACTCAAATTTATTCGAAATTGACTTGTTTCCATTAATCAAATTTATTTTTCTAATTTCAATTTGCTCAATTTTCTGGTCAATGGAAAAACAGATAATGAATTCCCCATGAATGAGTCCAGAGACCAAAACAGTTCAGTTTTGGGAGTCAGATATTGCATGAAAATAGTTTGGAAAAGATTAAACTGGTAATTGTTAGGGTTACTGGTAATGCAGCTGCTAAGATGAAAATTCAGACTTTTGGGTTTTTGTAAAAAACATGAAAAATCTGAATTTAAACCATCATTGCTCTGAAATGTAGCTGCTTCTGGTCACCCTTAAAAGCAAACAGGAATTTAAAATGGATACTGTTATTGTTAATTCCTGATTTCTTCATTAATAGCTGCCTCTAAAAGGCTTGAAATACCTTGAACTTTCCAACCCAGATTCATCAAGCAGAATCTGCTCTTAATTTTGGATGAAAAGAAGAATTAAAAACTTTGTTTATGACAGAAATTTTCATTAGTTGTAAAACTATTCTTGTTATCTGCTGAGAGAAAAGGGGCTAAAACACTTACACAGCTTCCAGGATGACATTTTCAGCTAATTATCAGAATAAATCAGTTTCTACTGGAAGACAAACTGATTTCTGCCTTTATACTGGCTGATTACTTACATTACGTTGGTCACCATGACATCAGTGACGCGTTTTTTTTTCCCCCTCCTTTTATTTCCATGCAACAAAATGAACACTGTGCATTAGGCAGAGGCTATCCTCCATGCATCACAATTTCACAAACCTCTCTAAAGTGATGCTGCTTTGCATTCTGCAGTGTTTCTAGGAAATTATTCTCACTGGGAAAATACATCAACACCATCTACGCTTCTGAAAAAGCTGACAAAAAGCATTTAAAATCGCTTAATTGTGTCGTCGCAATTAGTTTCCCCAACAATAAGAGGTTTTTAAATATAAATACAAGTATTATGCAGCTCAGAATCAATGAAGGTATGGGGTTGAACTTTGTGCTCGAGGCTGCAGCCATCCAGTTTAGCTGAAAGGTGTTGAATAAGAAATCAGCAGCTCTGCAGATCCGTGGAGATTTGGGTGGATGGAGGAATCTTCAGTGTGTTCTGAAAAATACTTTATTGAGCCCAACGGGAAAGTAATTTAAATTCATTTTATAGATTCAAAACATCTTGGAAATTTACACGTTTTAATTATTTGCCAGGTTTAGGACCATGAATGAACACTTAAACTTATTTTTGCTTATTTTGCATAAAATGCAGAACACCCAGAGTCACATAAAGGCAGTTACAAAATCAGCCTTCTGTCAATTGGAGAACATTTCTAGGATTAAAAGACTAATTTCCCAGCAAGGTCTAAAGAAACTCATCCAGGTTTTTATCTTTAGTTGCTGCTGCTGGTGTCCTGACTAAAACCAAGAAGATAAAATACTTTAGTTAAGTTATAAATCACTGAACAGAAGCAAATACATTATAGATCTTCTGTTGTTGGATCAACCTTCCAGACAATCAGGTCTTCTGGTTCTTGTCTGTTTTGCATCAGGACCAGAACCAAACATTCAGCTTCTATTCACCACAAATCTGGAACAAACTTCCAGAAAACTGCAAAACAGCTAAAACATTGAGTTCCTTTAAATCAACACTAAAACCCACCTGTTTAGAGTTGCTTTTAACTCGTAATAACTGGAATGTTGACCAACATATTTGATAGGTATTGATGATTTTGATTACACATTCATCAAAACCCAAACCAATTTGTAACTATAGAATGTTTTTATGTTTTCACATGATAAAGCACTCTGACCAGCCTTGTTGCTAAACTTTCTTATACAAATAAACTTTGATTGATTGATAATGTTCTTTGAATTTTATGTAGAGGGTAAAACTTTCATTTGTGCTTCAATTGTGTTGGTCGATCAGGTAAATTTAATAAAGCACGTCAAGTTTTGTGGCTCTAGCTTGACAACATGCACAACCACATAGGATGTGAATAGTTTTGCCCAATCCTATCAAACATTGTTATGTGAAACGACTCATATCTGCAGTCAAGCTCGGAGGTGGAGGGGTGATGGTGTGGGATGCTAGCTCATTTCAGCTAATAATTTCTCTGCATTTCGCCGTTATGTTTGGTTTTTCCTCCCATCCAGTCGGTAACTTTGCCGTCAAGTCAGCTAACATGATTAGGTAATGAAGCTAACAGCAGCTGCAAGGTGGCCTCATAAATAATACATGTGAAAATGCAGAACACCCTGTATCTCCAAGAAGGAGAGATCAGACAGCTATTCAATATTTTCTTTTATTAAATCCACTTATATCACAGCAGACTGCAAACACAATTCAAATTCTGACCATTCAAGAGTTCGCTCCAGGCAAAAAAAGAGAGAGATGAAGAGAAATTGAGAGCAGCCTTATGAGAGTTTTTGTTGTTTTTCTAAAAGATCACTTTTAGCATTTAAATGAAACTGTGGGGTAGAAACTGAAGGAAACTGGGGAAATGGTGGTCGTCACTTTACTTCATGATGTTGGCGATTTTCTGTGAAATGTAGAGAAAACAAACCAAGCTGAGTGGAAAGAAAACAACAAAGCAGGAAAAGATAAAGTCTCTCTGATTGTATCATGGCTCCAACACATTCCTCATGTTGAACTTCAAGTTTTCACACTCAAGAGTTTTCTGTCCAAAATAGCAAACTCCACAACAGGAAGAAGCTTTAAAGCAGAGTCAGGTTTTAAAACATCAGAGAATCTGTCCAAGGAACAAATTATTAACCTTCAATTCCAAAAATTTGAATGGCAAAACAGTTGGGGGGGAAAAAAAACAAACAAAAAACCCCCGTCAGATCATCAGTTTTTCTACAAGCCATGAAAGGGACACAGACGATGCTCGGGTTAGATGAGAATGTAAATTATTATGAGATTCACTTTCTAGCTGGACAAAAATCCAAAACATACAGAATAAGATCAAATTAGATGGTTTAGATCAGTGGTATCCAAACTTTTTGGGACAAAATTGCCAATAAAAAATACTCACAGGCCAAGAAATGAAGCTTAAATGTTCACTTTTTTACCTGGTTGACAATAAACTAATCGTAATATTTTAATTAACAATAATTTGTCAGATTGTTATGGGAAAGAGACTGATAAATAATTTCAGGGCAGGTATGCTTTTGAAAAGAAAAAGCATTTGGGCTTGATTTAAGCAATATAAACAATATTTGAGTCACTCTGTCCTTGAAAATGCTTGCAGTATTTAGCCAAATATTCTTGATAGTAGAAATAACCAAACAGATGTAGTCCTAATCTCTCCATTCTGGTGCATTCTTGATTATTCCCAATTCAGTATTTGTGAATTTTTCTGTGAAACGTAGATCCAAATGATTAGTAATGGAAAATATGCCTGGTCATGGATTTCTTTCATAAAGAATTTTTAAAATGCTTTATGAAAATAAGGCTGAAATACCAAAGCTACTTGACAAAAGCGGCCAATCCAGGAGCGGCATTTATATTCCTCAGCGTTGATTGGTTGATCCCCCATGAGTGAAAATAAGGAAGACTGCAAAAATTTGCTTCTGCTTGTAAATATTAAAAGGGACGTTTTATTCAAAATTCACATTTTGCATTTTTTTGTACTTCTATTTGGGCTTGAAGTTCTTTTAAAGGCAGCCCAAGCGCTTAAAATACCCCCTCTTGTTTGGGAATATGTTATTGCCATCACCTAGCAACCCCAGCCTAGTCCAGCCCTGATACCTAGCAACCCAATCTGCGCTCCAGCACATTTGGTCAGCTGGTTTTACCGCTTGAAAAGATAAGTGTTTTTGTTGTTGGTTTACCATCCAGAAACCATTTGCTTCATTCTCGTTGGTTGCGCAGGAGGCTCCACTTCTGCCTTTCTATGAAACACATCTGTTTGCTGCCATTTTCATGTACGAGTGTAAACGTTGAGTTGGGGGGCGTGGCCAGCTTAACTGAGCAGACCAAAATCTCATTACCAGAGAATGATTTGTGCAAAGAATGTGATGGACACGTTTTGTGTAGGCCATATTTCTATCCCAACCTGTTGGAAGAAGCATAATAAATCACCTTTGAGGTAAATTTGGTGTTTGAACTGTTAAAATAGTCCATTCTCAACATTTTTAGTTGAATTTTGGGTAACGGGTGGCAGCTGTTGAATAGAAGAGGTTCCCTACATGAAATTTTAAGACTTTTTGATTAAAAAAAAGCACCAATAAGTACATTAACGAAACAAAAAAGGGAAGAAAAGACTGCATTGGTTTTAATGTTTCGATCCATGAAGTTTTAGATGTTTTTTTTACTCTGACTGTATCTGCAGGTTTACAGTCGTCATTCATCGGCTGCCACAGAAATCTTGTTTTTCTGTTATTTTCAGAGCCATTGTTCCAGTGTTGGCTTTTGTCAGGGCCACTCCGGATAAAAGAGAGAAACAACATGGTGTTCCAGTTCATAGCAATGACAGCGCACACGTTTTGTTCCCTTCAAAATATTATTCATCCACAGCGTTTTGTATTTCCACGGCCCCCTGTCACACAGGCGCAGCTTTTGCTCCAAATACATTCTTATTTACTTTTTGTGCAGCTGGAGTCTGAATTATTTTTCATTAAAGTCAAAAATAAAGGGAATAGCAGTGTTTTTCTCCTGATAAAGCTGGTTTAAATTTGAAAGATTTACTTATTTTTCAATAAAAAAGGGAATAAATTCCCACCTTTAATCCTGCGGTGGGTTATTTCTCTCTGCTGTAAGCCCTTTGCCTCGACCCGCCTCGTCTTGTTAGACTTCAATTAGCGGTTTTCTTCATTTCCCAGGAGGACTTTTGACAGATCCCAGAGAAAGGCGCTGAACTTGTTGCTTTCAATGAAACGAGACTGAATGGGACCATGAATGGCCAGGAAAACTAATCACTCCAGCATTTAGGTGTTTACTCTATGCAGGGATGGAAATACAAGCAGCAATGAATCAAAGTAATGGCCATGCTGCACAGGACTGGAGCGAATGGTGAAAGGAATATTTACCTATAACCTTCGTTAATGAAACTTTACAACACAGATCCATCCATTCAGCTGATCCTTTCAGCAAAAATGAAATATAAATAAATGTACAGACACTTAGAAAATGTGAATATGAACAGAACAAGCACACAATATCCTAAACGCATCATAATATGTGTTGTTTGGTTGGAAAAATGCATCTAATTGTGTCTGTACGTCAGATAAAAATGTACAATGTGCTTAAAATACCATTAAAGCACCAGTATGTAAGTTGTTTAAAATATTTCTTAAGGCAGATAATCTGTGGTAACTAAAAGCAGCCAATCAGAGGTAGGAGGCGGGTCTTAGAGCTGTCAATCACCCTACCAGTTAGCGTAGCCACTGGTGATGGCAAATAAATGGTTTTCCTGTAATAGTGAGCTGTTCACAAAGTTGATTAACAGCGTTAAGTCCCTCCTCCTGACTCTGATTGGTTGTTTATGGGCAGGACACTGAGTTCCTTTAAATCGAAGCTAACAATCGACCTGTTTAGAGTTGTTTGTGATTCCTAGTAACTGGCACGTTGACCAACAAAAAATTGAGCTCCTCTGACATCTTCAAGTACAAATTAGAAACGACCAATAATGCATATTTTGATATTGATCCAATACAAAGTAAATATAAGACAATACCGATACCGATACTTTTTATTTCAGTTTGGTATATTATTAAACATCTGATCTTTAGGCATTTTTGTTGTTTTTAGTTGAATTATTTTGTTAAAATGAAGGACAAAATTTGAACAAAGTTTAAAATTACTTAAACTACAAAATACTTTAATAACATATTAACATGATTGATTAAAAAAGCAAAATAGGATTTTTTCTAAATAAATAAAGTTTAAAAAAATATCTGAGGACAAATCAAAACAAAATCTGTTTTTAGGTCAAGTTCAAATTTCAAGAAGGAATAAGATTTTATTTGCTTATTTAATTCATTTACAGTTTAAAATAAACAAAAGTTTTGAATAAATAGAAGAAGTTTGAAGAAAAAATCTTAGTCTACCCCTTCTGTCAAAGTCAGTACCACTTGGTATTGATAATTATTCATATTTTGGATTGATTCTAGTTGATTAATAAAAGTTTTCTCACTCCACATCCATGTCTTTCTTCCAAATATTCAGATTTCAGCTTCGGGATGCTAATAATAAACAATAATTCCCGTTTTTTCCTTTTTTGCTTTGCAAAATCAATATTGCTTTGACTGTAAAGTAGGAGATGAGCGATCCTGTTGGGAACTGAAGTTTCTCATGCTGTTCATTTTGCATCTGTTCCCCCAAACCCTTGGAAGGGAAACCCTGACATTTGTCTTTTCTTTATTACAACCAGTCTGTTGTTGTTTTTTTTTTTGTTTGTTTTCGTAAGAAGAGGAAAGCCAGGGATTGTTGGATCTACCATGGTTGCATGTACTTTCCCTTTAATTAATCAATCTGCGTCGGGAAACTAAATGAATCTCAAACACAAAGCACTGACCTGCGAACCAAACAGGCCGCTCGTTTCCCAGCTGGTTTGATAATCGACACGTTGGAGAAAACGCCAGAAATGTGACTGTGAAAAGACAGAAAGCAAAGCCAAAAGGGAGATGTTAAAAGAAAAACAAAAAAAACTCAACCGTACAACACATAACAAGCAAAACGTCCTGGAAGTCCTTTGCTGTCAGGCAGCGTCAACAACTAGGACCCAAAACGCAGAATGAACATTTCAGGTACTGTAATAAAAAAAAAATAATAAAAAAACAAGCAGGATGTATTGAAACTGACAAGCTGTCTGGCAGCTACTTTCAAATTTGTTTCCATGACAGGCATTTATTTCAAATACATCATGCGCTGTTGCCTCCGTCAGCTTCACATCTCCCACTGAGGAAAGGAAAGGAAACATTAATGGTCTAAAAGAAAAGGTAAATTACAGAAAATTACCTGATTTAGCACTGACTCAATACGACTCATTTCCTCTTGCGAATTTCCTTAAAAAAAAGATACTAATAATATCTTCCACTGTTTTGTAGCTGCAAAGATCAAAGCAATAAAGTATTGTTTGAAGCATCCTAACAGAAAATCATTTGCATTTTAAAGCTGTCTTATATAATAAAGAGTGATGTAAAATATTGGGATAAATCACTTTCATATTTCAGTGAAGGTCATTTCAATTCCTTTGAAAGTGGAACAATACAGAAAAAGCCTTGCTATAATTCAGAACCTGGAGGAATTTTGTGGGGGGAATAAGATGTTTTTAAAAGAAAGTTTTAGAAATGTAAAACCAGAAGTGGGTAGAGTTGGCATTTACTTGTACTGAGGAAAGAATTGAATTACTTGAATGTATTTTTACTCTGGTAAACGTAAAAAAAGTATTTGATTGAAAGGCTGCTTAAGCAGAACACCTGGAAATGTTAAATAATGTTAAAATTATGGCATTTTAAACACTGAATATTAAAAATGACCAGAGAAGCACTTTTTCTAAACAGTGTTTTTCAATTAAAAAAACCTATAAAACTTGTTACGCCTGGTTGAAAAACACATCCTATCAGTCAATACTGATAATTATTTATTAGTTTTAAATATCTGAAATATTGCCAATCTGGTGGCGGGACATTTTGTGTTTTATTCAGTTTTCACTCCACTATGTTGTTTATTTCTAAGCAGTTATGAGGCAAAGTGGTAAAACTCCAAACTGTGGAAGTCACTCTACAGGTTGTTGCTAGGTAACCATAGAGTGAGAGAGTTGCTAGGTAACCATAGAGTGAGAGAGTTGCTAGGTAACCATAGAGTGAGAGAGTTGCTAGGTAACCATAGAGTGAGAGAGGTAGTTGATTCTACCAATCTAGCTTAGCTGAACATGAAAAGCAGCTAAAGTCTTTCCTCTGATATATTGTCTTTCGATATATTTTATCCACTGTTTTTTTAGAGTATCAATAAATTAAAAAAAAATAATTAAATGTAGTTACTGTGAGCAGATTAGTGACACTTGTCACACTTCTGTTGACCTAAATAAGCAAATTATAATTTGCCATTTGGTCACAGTTATATAATTACTTACAAAATAAGTAATAAATAATTGTAATTTTTGTCAATTAATGGCATGATAAACTAAAACTCAATAATGATTTCTTGTTTTTTGGTGTTTTGGTCTGAACTAGCCCCTTTTTTTGAAGCACAATTTTACTTAATAATTAATTTTATTTGATGTTTCTCTTGTTTTGTTTATTTATTTTGGAAATTTATAATGTCTTCTAGCTCCAGTTTTGAATGTTCACCAGAATTTAAAGTTTACAGATTTTTGAGAATGGTTTCTTGCATTATTATGCCAATATTATCATCATATTACCTTAAAAATAGTCTCAAAACAACAATATTATAATTTATCGTGATAAATTCTACTTCAAAATATTGTAATAAAACGTTAAGTCCATATTGTGTTAATATCAGTAATTATTCTTGATATCTCTCATCGTTTGCATCCTTTTTTTCTAATTGCAAAACATTGTTTACATAAAAGACAGATGCATGAACTCGAATTTAACACTTAATTAGTTTACACCGCTGAGGCAAAAAGTCAGCTGCTGTGCTCCCAGGAGAACCGACCGGCTGACATTATGGGCACAACAAATTACTATCACATCTTGCACCTGGCAAGACATCTTCACACCTGGACATAGGTGGCCTTCTTGACACTAATAGGAGACCTGGAGGGAAGTAGAAGGTAAAATCCAGCTGAAAACTGGCCAGTGGCAGACAGCTGAGCCCTGTTTGGCACCGATCCCCTCTCTGAGATGCTGAAAAAACTCCACAGATGGTTCTACAAGGCCCGCGGTGCGAGGTAAACAAAGTGCGGCGGATGTTGCTAACCTGACCCCGGCGGTGGGCGGTGGCAGCCTGTCAACGAAAATGACATCATATCAGGTCGAGACATTCGACTTGGTGTTTTTCCCCCTTTAATCGTCTCTTCTGATTGGTCGTTATCTCTGAAAACTAAAATTTATCTTATTAAAATGCAAAATTTCCAATTCAGCACCCAAAGTGGTTCTTTCTAATTTGTATTTGCGAGTTGTTTTGCACTAAATAGCCACAGCTTGATGGACCGATACATAAAACGACGCCAATCAAAGATTCAGGACACTAACATGTACCGACTGCGTCAGCCATGTTTTATTCATGCCGTTTTAAATTTTTTATTTTCTCTCGTCCAAATAAGTATTACCACAGAGTATGGCACCAAAACCAGTTGGTATGTCGTTAGTTTGTACCTATTTGTATAATTTAATTCATAAGAATAATTAAAGCATCTGTTTACAAAAGCTTACATAATGATGAACCTCGTTTTAATGCTCAAAGGATTAACTGGAAGGACATTTAAAAAACCTCAGAAACGGCAGCTGCTGGTCTTCAAACACAACAAATAAACAGATTACTCTCAATAACAAACATCATAATTTAGATAGAAATTACTTCAGTTCTCGTTTAATATTGGATGTGAATCCGAAATACTGCTCTTGGTTTACATAAAATCATAACACCCACTGTTGCCGCTCTGGTTGGAATAATTTTCCATTTTTTTAAACAACAACAAAACATCTGGGGTCAGACTTCTTGGTAGATGATGAGATCCCAGGAGGGACGGTTCCAGTGGCTGGAGTCCCGATGCCGGAGAGGCCGCTTAAACATGCAGCCTGTATGGAAACCTTAGGCAAA